CATTCACCTAATTTCCTATATTCCGCTATTCTGACTGATCCCAACTGCCTACTCTCACCTATGTACTTGATCTCACTCACAGTCATTACATGCAATTCAATAGATTACATTATTTTGCTCAACTGGATCTATCGCATCATTAGTGCAGCTGACAAAGCGTATCTGTGAGTGAGTTTGTGGGTTTGAATGCCTCCCTAATTCCAGTCTTATTGAGAATCCTATGTGATATTTCTCATGTTCCTTCCTCATAAATGGTAACACGATGGAGATTGTGAACTCCTTTCTACTCATGTTGTCCTTATTCTTCGTACTGATGTGACTCTTATTATTTCGTTTCTAGTGTGTTCTCACGAATTTCTCGATAGAGTGTAGAGGATAATTTAATTATTAAGTATTGGTGTTTCTCTTATGTGTTTCGGTTGCTTGTTTAGGTCTTTACACTGACTAGTCAGTTTTGTATCTCCATCAATTGGACATCTGACTAAACCTGCCATAATTAACATTGGATGAGATGACTTGAAGTCGAGATACCTGTTAGAGTGTGTCGCTTTCGTGTAGACTTTATTATCCAAACCGCCATCTGTCTTTCGTTCCATTTTGAAATCCAACATGGGTAATTCCCCCTGTTCATTTCCTACCTCGTAAGAGAATTGGATTGTGCCTACTACTGAGTTTGTGTGTGTGTGTGTGTGTGTGTGTGGAGAAATTGTTGATATGTTGTGATGTGAAGACGGTGAATGTGTCATCCACATATTGCGACGACATCTTAGGTGGAGGATTATACGTTTGTAAAGCCAGGCTTTCTCAACTATATTGATAAATATATGTGGTAGAATTGGAGGGATATTGGTGGTCTGATTGGTACTCATTCTGTTTGTGTATATATTTTGTGTTTAAAGTTGAAGAGTGTGGATTCGAGGGACAAGTGTATGCATAATATGATCTCAGCAATCGATATTTTAATTCTTTGAGTAAGTTTTTATTCAGAATTTAGTTGATTTCTGACTGTCTTCAGTGACATATTGATTGGTATTTTAGTATACAGACTTGTTACTTCGAAACTAACCATTCTTCATCTAGTATTTCTAGATTTTCGATCATTCTGATTTAATCCTTCGCTTAAGAACCTTTCTCTCATGTTCAGTTAAGCTTATCTCGACAACTACTTTTGTGTTATGAAGTTTTTTAAGGCATTTTAAAGCAAGATATTGAGTCAGGGAAATTACACTAATGAAGTATTCTTCTTTTCCTTACCCATTATTTTTAACAAAAATTTCTTTAAGAAAGGAATTAGTATCTTCAAAAGTTGTATGATTGTTACAACAAAATATATATCCATCAATAGCTAATTAGCCAATACAAAGTCAATAAAAAAGGCGAGTAAAGTCACAAGGTGATTGTGACCAGAAGGTCAACTCAAGGTCACCAAAAGCTGCTTCTTTGATTGTAGTAAATAAATAAATAATCGACAAAGAATTGACTAAAATATCTTCGGAAGATTACAATTCTGGAAAAATTAGAGGTTGGATGTTTCACTCTTGAATGCAAACATCAAGTTTGAGACGATGGATTGCTAATACTTCTGTTGTATTGAGGTGGGAAGTATGCACTTTGAAAGAGGATTCTTATGGAACGAAGTGATCAGAGTTAACCAAACGCTCAAGAATTAAGCTATAAATGGCTTTGTATTTTCCTTCAGATAGCCGTGTAGCATAGTGTTCGGAGATGCGTTTGGATGGAACATATTTTAGGAGGCGTATGTAATCACCTCCATAAGAGCGGATGAACTGGTAAACAAATACGGAGGTGGTGCAAAGTGATAGTTCATCATTTTGCATAACCTATAGGCAAGTTTTGATGACCTTGAATTGACCTTCTAGCTGTTATCACCTTGTGACTTTATTAGCCGTTTTCACTTACTATAGTGACCCATTTTATCTATTTTATTGTAACTATAATTACGAATGTACGACTTTTGAGGAAGATTCGTGGAAAATAAAGTTTTCTTCTCTTGACTGTCTTCTGTTGGTTCCCATAACATTAATCTAAGAAAAACTTTCCGAACGCAGTATACTTTTTCGAATGTTTTTCTATCAGTTTTCATGCTACAGCTTGTTGATTGAACCTTATTGATAAGGCATTTTTGGTATATGGGTTCCTCTGTAGATGCTTCGACATCGCAGGGATTTTCGGTTTAAATATTGTTGATGAACAGTGACTAATAGTGGAGTCTATGAGGTGCGTTCCATCTCGATTAGGACATCTAGCTGACAGGCAACTATACCATACCCGTCGATAAGGAGTGGCTATCATAACTCACTGGCCAAGGGGATAACGGTGTGGTGTTTGAAGCGATAGATTTTGGGTGTGAGCGTAAGTGGATACAAAATCACTAACTGGAAGACAGGTACATCCAGGTGATAAGTCCTAAATAGGACGTCCTAGATTTCGCTGCTAGACACTATCCATTGCTGAGTTTTTCAGCAGGTTCTAAAATTGTAAAATGTATTTGCACAGAGCAAAAACAAGCCAATTTAAGGCGAATAGATCTTTGAAATGGAGTGAGACTTAGGAACTGTAAGGAAATCATTCTTTATCATGATTCAACAGGGATTAAATTTATCCACTTGAAATGAACATTTTGATGGACTTCATAACTTCATGATCCAGAAGAATTTGGAAAAGGCAAGAACAACAATGGGAGAAGGATTAAACGGATTCATTTCGATGGTATTCTGCTAACTGCTTCCCGCATTTAGAATATTAAAATATATAGCTTTACTGAAAAGTTTCAGCTTTTTTTACTCACTATAGAGATTGGAAAACTGAATCCCATTCCATGACTTGACAGTATGAATGGGTCAAAAAGCTTTCTATTGTAATCGTGGAAAGGTATCCACTGAATGTCATTGACTACATCAGGGCCCTAGAATTCTGCTTAGAGACTACTTTCTTCACATTTAAAGGAAAACTATATAGGCACACTGATGGTATTACTATGGGTTCACCTGTTTCACCCATGGTAGCTACCTTATTTATGAGTAAATTTGAAGAAAGTGTCTTTACTCACTTACGAAATCCAAAAATTTGGCTGATATATGCTGATGACTCATTCTTAATTTTAAAACACTACCAAACATTCTTAGATCATATGAACTCTAGATCTCCCAGTGTTAAGTTTAGTTCAGAAAAAGAAACGAATAAGAGGGAACTGTCTTTCCTTGGTTGTCTTGCTAGACGGAAAGAAGATGGATATTTTGGCATTACTTTTTTCAGGAAAGCAATACATTCTAACAAATATTTGGATTTTAACTCATCACATTCAATCTTCAGTGTGAAAGTTTCTGTTGCCTTTAGTCTCCAGTGACGGATGAAAACGAATTAGTTGAGGAATAAAAATATGTGAACAAGGTACTTAAAATGAATAATTATCTGGTGAAATTCATTCGCAAGATAGAAAATAACATTAAATTAGATCATAAAAAATACTCCTAAATCATGGACTTCAACAATAATTATCCCTTACAGATCACACACATTAGATGGAATTAGGACAGTGCTCAACAAATGCAATATCAGAGTGTTCTAAGGAACATCAAACACATAACGGAGCACATTAGTTCATTTGAAGGATGAGATCACTCTAGATTCACGATCTGGTTGTGTTTATGAAATAAGATGCTTAGACTGAGATTCAGTATACATAAGACAAACGTCCAGTGAAATCAAAATAAGATAAAAATGAACACCGAAGAACTTCCACTCGATCCCCAAGAAATGCAGTGGAAGTGAAAAAAACTTGAAAACATTTCAGCTATATCTCTACATGCTATAGTTTCAGGTCACAAGGTCGACTGATTGACAGTACTAAAATTATTCAGAAAGCCTTTAGGAGTTATAAATACCGTCCCAATGCAGAATCTCTTCACATAAAGTGGAATCAAAATTGTCTAAATAAGAATGAAGGAGGGAGTCAAAACGTAGTTTTGATCTGATCTCAATCTACCACCACATAGTGATATAACCAACAAACATCAAGGAGATAATAACTATCAACATATGTGTACATACAGATCTCAATCTGTAATTCGAAAACTTTTCACACACACAGCACACTACACGTGGATATCATCTTTATTCTGTAGTTCTGACAATCCATAATCATTTATGCAGAAGAACACTTCTCAAGTTTGGATATTGTCAATTCCGGTTTATCATAACTAAGATAAAGCCATCAGCACTAAATAGCTAAACGTCAGTTGAAACATTCATTCAACATTCATTGTGAAATACAAATGGTGAGATAAGCGACAAGTGTTGTCAAAGAATTGTAAAACGGTGATAATTAAGCTGAAATGTGTAAAATAGGTCAATGAACAAGGAATGAATTGATAGTAAATAGTGAAATCATATGGATGAACCGAGCAAAGGAAAACGACTTCATCCATATATGAACACCTTGTTGAATTGGGATACTCAGCATCTCGACATTGATCCTTTAAAATAATTTACAAAGTTAAATTGAACTACTCCAAAGGTATACGTTTCCATCACTTATGCATAGCTGAAGCATTAGCTATACATGAACAAAAGCCGAAACTTTGCATTCAAAAACGTTTTATGAAACCACTTTCTCTACCTTGTCCTTAACAATTCATTTTGTTGATTTTGTCAATTTCAGTTCATTTTGGTATACTTCTCTTCTATTATCATCATTATCATCACCAATTTTCATTTCATTAACAACATTTGACCCATATTTCACTTTTTTAATATCAATTCATTCCTTGTTCATTGACCTATTTTACACATTTTCAGCTTAATTATCACCATTTTGAAATACAAATGCCAAAATCATGAGCAATTGTGAAATGTTTTACTGGTACCAGTTTACGGAATCTTACAAAATAAGACAGCTTTTTGTGGATTGATGAACAACAAACCGTATATAAGTTTTAACTGCATAACACTAGTAACATTTTAGCGCGTTTATCACATACCTCAAAGATAAATAATTTCTTTGGAGTAACTTCAGGATTAATACGATTTTGTAAGGTTTCTGCAAGAGTCAAATTAATTTGGTTCAATTCATTTAATTCATAATTAGTTGATTTTTCTGGCCAACGAAATTTCAATCGTAATTTAGAGTTGGCTACTAAAAATTCGACTGGTGGGACTTTAGCAGATAGACGAAATTCAATTTCAACACTTTGAGCAAGTTTTGCATTTGTAGCATGGAAACTAAAGGGAGAAAAGAAGTATAAGTTAAATAAAACCATTGACTAAACATTTACTGAGCATTAATTTACTATAATGCATCACAAATAATGTGCATTTATTAAAGGTGCGTACAATACTATACAGCATAAACGACTTGGGCAAGGGGTCGAGTGTAAGTTCCAGTCTTACTGTCAAGCATTCTATCATATTCTCCCAGCTTGAGTTCTTGAGCATCTACTGATCACATCATTTATAACATTTTTGAGAACGTCTAGTGATTTTCAAAGATTTATCACACATTGTAACAGCATTGTTAACTAGATTACCTTTCGGACATAATTTATTGTCTATTGTCGTCCATATCAAGATAACTGCACAACTTTGAGAAATCCTAATTTTCCCGTGTCCTTTTTGATATGGGTGGTAAGATTTTCCATATATCTGGAACAAATGCTGGGTTATTCCTGTGGCATGTGTTGAATGTTGATTCGATAAACAAAGATTCGATTATCAACCTCTCACACTTTCACACTGTCCCATCCTATTGTGTGGTTGCGTGTAATCGCATGCATAGCTATGGCTGAGAATTTTTCTAAATTCCTTACCTTACTAGGACCTGCCAATTTTGACCTAGCTAAGTTTTTGTGTTCCGATAGCCTGATTGACCCTGGTTGACTACTTTGACCTACGATTGCGAGGTTAAATACATAAGTCAAAGTAGTCGACCAGGGTCAGTTAGGCTATCGGAACACAAAATTGGTAGATCCTAGTAAACCAAGCAATTTATAAGAAAGCTAAGTCATAGCTATCTATGCAACTACATGCAACCACACAATAGGATGGGACAGAGTGAAAATCCTAATTAACTAATTTAGTGCGGTGGAGGGAGAGATTAATTACCGGATCTATTTTTATCGAATCAACACCTAATACATGCAACAAGAATGACTCAGCACCTGTTCCGGATATAAGGGAAATCTTATTACCCATCTCACAAAGAGACGAGGGAATTAGGACTACATAAAGGATATCTCAAAGTTGAGCAGTTATCTTGATATGGACGACCATGTACAATAAATTATGTCTAAAACGTAATCCAGTAAGCAATACTGTTAGACCATGTGATAAATCTAATGGATCAATAAAAATGGAATTACATTCTACCACAGTGCACAAGTTTTACTCTTACATTAATGAGACTTTCAAAGAGTTTAAGAAGCACTGACTAAAATGAATTCCCTATCAGAAATGAAGGAATTATGTGTATGAATTTGAGAAAGATCGTACAAAAAATACACGACATGAATAATAGTTACGCTTTTGAAGTTGAAGTATTCATAGTTATAATCTAAAAATCTCTACCCATATAAACTGGATAAACAATGTAAAGTGTGAGAAAACGAAACCTCAATTATGCTTTGAATTCGCTAAGGTGGTGACTACTGTTTGTTCAACTTTCTGGATTGAAATCATTCGATTCTTAGGGGCAGTCAATTGTTCTTAATTGAAAATAGTTTAATTAACTGATCACTACATTCAGATCATGTAACTTTCTGAGAATAAAATTTCAGGGGTGTCATTAATGGATGAAAAAATCATTGAAATTGAACATGCTTTTATCATCTGACCAGAGCTACGAGTTTCCATACATAAGATGAAGTGCATTTTATCTTAGTTTGAGGTTTAATATTCTAGAAATGATTTGATGTATCACAATCCTATCAATATCAGCCATTGTCCAGAGGAATCTTCTATCGTTAACTCTACGCTTTAAGTCACCATTTCATGATTAATGTTAGAAAGTAGTTTGACAGTCATTATGCTTAAGGCTAATATGGAATGCAACTAAATAATGATTCGTAATGATGGCCCATTTCAATGGTTTAGTTCAGGATGTGCAGAACTATTCATCCCATTGGTGTCTTCCATCGCCATCGGAATTCTTAACAGAAAGCAGACAAGAGGGATTATTTTCCACTGACTTCCACAATCAAATAGACTACATTGTGATAATGAGTTTATTGGCTGAAAGTTTTTACAAAGAGGCTACTTGGTAAAGTATGTTAAGCACTCAGTGAAGAGGAGTATGATAATCAGAATGTGACTAGTGGTTGGTACTATGTTTTCTCGAATGTGCATTCACATTCCCATCTCACAGAAATTCTGGCTGCGAGAGACTTAGTTAATTTCGGTGGCTTATTCGTTTTATATAATAAGATTATTTAAAGGAAAGAATAATTAGGAGGTAATATATAACCACGGAACATATAAAATCCTGTTTTATCACGGCTTTTTTTAAACATGCCTGGTGAACTACCTTTGATCAACCTTCAGTACTGATCAGTCTTGTCTCAGAACTATTTATCACTGATATAAGAGGATAAATGTCACATTGAAGACTGGAATGATTTTATCAAGGAAAACCAGTAGTATCAATCATTTTAACAAATTATTTAGACTTAAAAGTGGATCATGTAGATACTTTTTCTAAAAGTTATCAACAACTATAAGTAACAAATCGATCCGAAGATTATCGGCATGGCATAATCTTTAATATCATAAACAAAACCCCCTTCCGGATACAAAGATGATGCTTTACACATCATACCGAGTGAAAGGATCGCAAGTATTCTGTATAGGAAAAACTGTTAAATAAGAAACAATTGAGTGTTATAATGTAAAACTAGAAGGGAGCAGGTTTTATTGCATACAGAAGTACAATGAAAGTTTCCAACACTAAAGTATCATCATAGGAACCCAAAGAAATCTTATAGTTCATTTGTACACTGCTGTCAGGGATGCATGTTGTGATTTCTTTTTTTTATGTCTGAAGTTAAATGGTGCAACCAGAGAGTATTATGTAGACATGATCCGTCTTAAATGTGTTGAAACTTCTAATTTTCTGTAAATTTATCATTATTATTTTTCTCCCTTGGGTTCCCAGGGGAACATAGGGCTTCACTAGCACGCATCCATTCCACTCTCTTCTCTACAGTCTTTTCAACCTGCCTCCACAACTACCCACAAGCTTTCATTTCTGCCTCACACCATCTCCTCCATGTCACCCTCACCTCGGACACCCAACTCGTCGTTTCACCTTCGGATTCCACTCGACAGCCTGTCTGGCCTGACGCGTGATATCCCCAATCCGCCTTCTCAGTGTATGCCCCCCAATCCATCTCCACTTCCTTCTGCATACACGTTGGGTGCTGGGTTCTTGGTTGGTTCGTTGTCAACCAGAGAGTTCCTTGTTGCTTATTCTCATTATTCTGACCATCTGATCTTTGGTATCGAGCCAACGTAGGTGGCAGTTGTTGATGAATATCTGTAATTTGTTGGAAGTGCTTTTCGTGACGTGCCAATTTCCTGAACCACATAGCATCACTGACTTGACTGAATTGGTGTTGAAAATCCGGATGTTGTTCAGGCTGTATGCTGAGTGCAATGCAGTAGATCTGCACACTGATTATTTCAGGTGAATGAGGGGATGTCTTGTTGTCTTTCCGATCCTGGTTTTGACATTGTCGTCTGTGCCGCTGCTTGTAGTTGAGACGATGCTGCCTAGTTAGGTGGGTAGGTGAAAGAGACAATTTCCTCTAGATTTGTCCTGTTAATGGTGATTGGTGTTTGTTGTTGTTGTTGGTGGTGGTTGGTAATCTTCATCACCTCTGTCTTTTCTACATTCGCTGCCTACCTTCTTCTGTCAACTTGTTAGTTTTCGCCTGTAGGCCTTCGAGTTTGTGCCATAAAGATATTAGGCATAAATCGTCGGCAGAATCCAAATCTTCTTCTAGGGTGTTTTCATCCATTCAGCCAGAGTATGATCATCTTCTCGCTACTCACGGTGTGATGCATGATCCAGTCGACCACAGTCAGGAAGGTCATCGGTGACAGTAGGCAGCAACCTTGTCTTACACCAGCCTTCACTTCAAAGGCGTCGCTGAGCTTTCTACTGTGAATCACTTGGCATATGGCGTCTTTATATAGCTGTTGAATGAGGTTAATAAAGATTTGTAGCACTAAAATCGTAGTGTTGAAGCGGTTGCCGAATTACCCTTGGTCGACGCTGTCAAAGGCCGGTCTTTTCAAAGTTGATGAAGTTGAGATAATGATCCAGTTGATTGCAATTCTGTGTTCTGTTGTATGATGATGCATAGCGTGGCGTTGCAATTTGATATATACATTATTTGTTCTTCCTCAATCCAGCCTGTTCCGGTCTAGTTTCGAATCCGATACATCCTTTAGTCTCTTCAGAATGACAGAGAATCGACAGCAGAATGATTCCCACTGCATGAGAGAGAGCCTTCGATGTTCTTGGAGACATAATGATAGCCACTCCCTCCGTGTGCTGGTGGTTGTCATCTGGGTGACAATATCAGAATAGACTATCGACTCTCCAGTTGACATTTAGGAGAGTCCACTTCCATTCCAGCTGCTTATCTCTAGCAGATTCCTAGCACTTCCATGCCATACCTTCTCAGTTCTTCTACAATCTGGGCATCCCTACTAGGTTCATACATGGTGCGGACATTCCATATTGACAGCCTAACTAGGGAACCAGTTAACGAGGCGAGAAAAATGCAAAAGAAAATTAATTGATTTTTAGACTTGAATACATGGTAGGATGTAAAATACTTTTTCAACGACTTCGAAAATGTAGTTTGGTCATTTGATAAACAAAATGAGGCATTTTTCTAAGTAAAATAAGCAAGGATTTTTCATTGATCATTACTCAACCATATCCATTTAATTCTATTTGTCAACAAATTGAAAATAATTTCCTCCTATACTTTGTTACAATTCACCATGAGATCGTGTCTGACCATAGAGTGATACAGTTTTGTTTACCTGATGACGTTTCAAACACAAATTATCACTACTCATAGTCATATCAGTGTGATCACACTTCTTTAGACATCTCAATTTGATAGTCCTATCAACTCTTATTCTTTGTTTTTATTAGTGATAAAGTTTCCAATATCCCTAGTATATGTGTTGGGTCATTCCTATCACATGTGGAGAGTGTTAGTTGATTCAATGAACAAAGATTCACTAATCAATCTCTCCCTCCCTCTCCCCCTCTCTCTCCACCTAATTATATTAGACTTAGGCACTATCGTTTCATCCCACACATTCTATTCTATAATTGTGTGCTGTTGCGTGCACTGCAAAGGCCAAGTCTCCTTCTAGATTATTGATCTCATACAGCTCTGCCATTCTACATTCACCTAATTTCCTATATTCCAATATTCTCACTGACCCCAACTGCCTACTCTCACCTATGTACTTGATCTCACTCACAGTCATTACATGCAATTTGATAGATTACATTATTTTGCTCAACTGGATCTATCGCATCATTAGTGCAGCTGACAAAGCGTATCTGTGAGTGAGTTTGTGGGTTTGAATGCCTCCCTAATTCCAGTCTCGTTGAGAACCCCATGTGATGTTTCTCATGTTCCTTCCTCATAAATGGTAACATGGTGGAGATTGTGAACTCCTTTCTACTCATGTTGTCCTTATTCTTCGTACTGATGTGACTCTTATTATTTCGTTTCTAGTGTGTTCTCATGAATTTCTCGATAGAGTGTAGAGGATAATTTAATTATTAAGTATTGGTGTTTCTTTTATGTGTTTCGGTTGCTTGTTTAGGTGTTTACACTGACTAGTCACTTTTGTATCTCCATCATTTGGACATCTGACTAAACCTGCCATAATTAACATTGGATGAGATGACTTGAAGTCGAGATACCTGTTAGAGTGTGTCGCTTTCGTGTAGACTTTATTATCCAAACCGCCATCTGTCTTTCGTTCCATTTTGAAATCCAACATGGGTAATTCCCCCTGTTCATTTCCTACCTCGTAAGAGAATTGGATTGTGCCTACTACTGAGTTTGTGTGTGTGTGTGTGTGTGTGTGTGGAGAAATTGTTGATATGTTGTGATGTGAAGACGGTGAATGTGTCATCCACATATTGCGACGACATCTTAGGTGGAGGATTATACGTTTGTAAAGCCAGGCTTTCTCAACTATATTGATAAATATATGTGGTAGAATTGGAGGGATATTGGTGGTCTGATTGGTACTCATTCTGTTTGTGTATATATTTTGTGTTTAAAGTTGAAGAGTGTGGATTCGAGGGACAAGTGTATGCATAATATGATCTCAGCAATCGATATTTTAATTCTTTGGGTAATTTTTTAGTCAGAATTTAGTTGATTTCTGACTGTCTCCACTGGCTGTTGATTAGAATATTAATATAATGATTTGTGACTTGGATACTAAGCATGTTTTCATCCTTTTCTGTGTTGGTCATTAAGTCTTTGTATGAGTTAATTTCGATTGATTATTGCTAGTCGTATCCATATCACTCAAAATGATCTGTAGTTTTCCTTGGATGACCATTTCAGTCATTTCGGTTTGAGTCAGCCCATAAACAGTGTACCTGAACAAATCACCTGAATCTGCCTAGCTGACTTAGATGCACCGGCATACCTTAAATTGAATGATCAGTGTGTAAATAGGCATTTGAATTACTACTCAACTGTGAAAAATACCAAGGTGAACCATACGGTTTCCGAATCATTTAGTGGTGTCCAACAAAATCCACAAATCAAACTGAGTGATTTCTAACTACTCATATTGTTCAGTAGTGCATGAAAAAACCCTTCCTTCAAAGTGGAATGAAAGTTTTTCGGTTGATTTCTCAAATGGCTTTAACCTATTGTTATCATAGGTAGAGAAAGTACTTCTGATTATTCACATAAGCCCTGGTCGACGTAATTAGAAGATAATGGATGTAACTCTTCGTCTGCCCTAGATTATTTGACCTATTATAATCAATATTTTTCTTCTAAAGTGCCTTATTTTGATTTCTAGAAAGGGTAACCTGTTTTAAGCTACTTGTTTAAGTACACAGAGATTGAATTTCGACGGAGTTGAGTTATCATCGAATTACTAACTCCGTTTACCAGTGGTAACTGTAAGTATCTATCTAACTTGATTAGTTTTCAAGTCTGAGTATTGTAACCACTTCTTTACATTTATTTAGAACTTATGCTCCTTTTTTTCTGATAATGTAGCATCAACGTCTAGATGTTTGTAAGAAACTCAGATTCTTTGAAATCCTTCAAAATGAATTGATATGTCATGGGAAAAGATAGTTGATTGATTATACCTACAAATATCCAATTTTTTTGAAGGAACAGTATGAATAAGGATTGTCGCTGTAGAAAGGCGCAGAAATAGTTAACGCCACCGTAAATATATATATATATATATATATATATATATATATATAGTGGATTTCACATACACAATTCAACTTTAGAGTACTCCATTTATTTATTGTCTTATAACCTATTCCACATGTAGGCAATCAAGCTACCATTAACGCTGGAACTAGGCTTGGAAAAGTGCCTAACAGTACATTATGGTTGAATAGATGAAGAAAGTAATGATTAGGGTCATATAATGCTTATTTTAAAAATTTTTTAAAGAAATTCTGAAGCCGTAATACTTGTTTAGCTGGAATAAAACAATATGCTTACAATAGTGTAATAATTTGCTCTGTTTTCAGACTACTGATCACGCATACTTCTCCAGTGTTAACATTCCATGAAAATGGTGAATCACCTGAAAAGTAAACGAGAAAAAAATCAGTCATATAAACTGTTTACTTATTGTATTGTATAATAAAGGGTATTTTAGGCAATGTTTAGCCTAGATACGATGAATAAATCAAAATATTATAATATGATATAATGATTAAATCAGACTCGATGCTCAAATTCTTTTGGTACATTTGAAACAACTACGAACTGGATGTTTATAATGGTCAGCTTAACATTTACATATTTTATATTTGCCGGGAAAATCTACAAAAGGAGTTCAATGGAATGTGTCTCTAGCTAGTAGCTTCAGTTTTGTAGTAGAGGCTAAATGTAGACTTCGCTGGGCTCATATATAGAAGTTTGTAGCCAACATTCTCACTAAATGGTAAGAGGATAAATATATGTATATATATGAAAAGCTCATTGGGTTATTATCATAAATTACTTGTAAAAACTTGCAGCTTCATATCGAATGCGAATGCATCACCATGATCATCAATAGAAAAGTGTATCGTTGGGCATAAGATGAACACAGATTTACCATCTGTAATTCCACAAAGGCGACCTGTTACTACAACAGTCAGGATCATTACAATTAAATATTTACCTATTGTGTCCACTAAAAAACTAGACCTTACAGTAGTGATTTCAATTAAAAACAGGTTAATTTCTACTCGGAATTGACATCTGACAATAGCTGTATTTCTTCACCTGAAGTTGGCATTTGATATCGTCGATCGGGAAGTCTGATAGCAATGTCTCTAACTGAAAGGAGTACCTAGTAAGTACATCGCCTAATTGAAGGTTCTCTACTCGAGCATCTGTGGGCATTTTAGAGCCTATGGTGAGATGTCGAGTAAGTTGCGTTTGTCGAGAGGTGTCCACCACGGATGTCCACTCTCTCCATTCTTATTCAATTTTATAATAGATGTCCATATTGGAGGTCTCCCTCTCGACATCTAACTGCATAGGGATTGATCTAATCACAGAAGAATTTTCGGTAGACCTAAAATACGCAGATGACATAGTCCTGTTAGGTGAAGACGCTGACAAGATGCAGCGTCTTTTGGACACCTTGAGTGGCAATCTGAGAATGTTTTGCATGAGTTTCTCGATATCCAAATGCAAATCATTGCTCCAGAACTGGTCTTCAACGGTGAGAGTGAAGTGGTTGAGTGCGATGAACACTTCACTTGCCTGGGAAGTCAAATCAGCCCTAGTGGCTCAGTCGCCCATGAAACCTGTGGACGGTTACAAAGGGTTCGGTTGACGTTTGCCAACTTACACCATATGTAGCGGCGCCACGATTTCTGATTGTCTATTAAGGGTTGGGTGTACTGTGCTACAGTTCACTGTTCTAATCTATGGTTGTGAAACATGGTCATTAAAGGTAGAGGATATGAGAAGCGTTCATGTGTTTAACCAGTATTGCCTTCGTAACACAAGACGTGTTTCGTAGTATCACCACGTAACGTAGAATTCAGGTGTAGAGTTTTAGAGAGGAGAGGTAAGTCAGTTAGTGGGTATGTGAACCTACATCGAGCGAGATGGTTGGCTCGGAGATGTGTTACGTATGCCTAGTTACCGTTTGCCTCGTCACACAATGTTGGTAGAAGTAGGTTAAGGCTGGGAAACGGCTAGAGGCTGGGCCAGACAAACATAGCATCAATGCATGAAGTCCTTTTCTGTTCGTATGAGTCATGTAGAGCGATGAAGACTAGCCAGTTGGGGTCCACCGAATAAGAGAAATCAGTGGTTGGAGACCAGCTGATATGGCTCAGAATGGGTGTCAGTGGCGCATGTTTATACACACATTAACCTTATCTTAACCTCTATGCTCAATCTCAACACCTCATTCCCCCTTCCTCTCTTTTACTACTTTCCACTTCTTTTAACTGATTTTTATTTTTCCATCTTTATTTCATTGCCTTGCTGCTGGATGTGTGATATGAAGTGTGGCAACTTGGAGGGTTGTGCAATAATGTCTGGTCCTACGTTGATAGTGATGATGATACGTGAAATTGGAGTATTAGTTTTTAAACTAAACGTTTGTTCTGTTATCTACACATGACACCTTAGATATTCAGACTGATGCCTATCAGTTAGGTCAAACTTGGTCACGAGATGCATTGAAAAGAAAGACATTCCAAAGTCATTAATGCCGTCACAACTAAAGCCGAAATGCAGTAGAAATCCCGTCTAGAAGGAATATGTGAATACAAAGGCAACTTTACAGCATTGGTCTCTCCTTTTAGGATGATGTTAGGACTCATGGTACTCATTCTCAGTATTTTTTAAGAAGCTAGAAATAGCAGAAGGTATTCAGAAACCAACAAAATGAATCAGAATGTGTAAAAAAGAGGATATGAATACCAGTGATTAACTAAATGGGTAATTTGGGAAGATTAACGATAGAGATGCCCTTGAACACTATTGATACTTTAGGTTCACATATAGACATGTAAACAACCAAATCATTCTATACATAGTTGATTTCCTAACAAATCTTCTGTTGCCTTACTACCTTTTCGTTTTCCCAGAAATTATGCGTCCGATAAGGTGGAATTTGAAAGTTGATTTCTGAGAATTCAGAAAAGTATTTCAGTTGAAGGTTATATAAATTAATCCCTGAGTAGTGGCACTGAAATATTAATTACATCTAGAAGTCATTTTGGCAGTGGAGTTTCTACGCTGTGTAGATCAGTGTGATTAAACATTACACTTTCTTGTTTTTTGGTTGGAGGTACTTTGGATGGAACAGAAATGAATGACATACAATTGCAGACTCAGTCTTCTGTTTATGTGAACAATCAAATTAGCTCAGCTGAAAAGATTATCCATGCCTTGATAATGATTCAAAACATGAAGTTATTACTGCTACCATCGGCTGCAAATTAATTCGTGTGTGAAAGTGGAGCATATATTTATCACAAACTCTAAATCAAAGATGACATTCATCTTCAGAATATCCAGGATACTAATGATTGATATTGGGCAGTAGTGGAATACAGAAGGCACGTTTCGGTCGAAATGGGACTGGTTGTCTGAAGCCCATATGCCAATACAGACCAATCCATTCGGTTCAAGCAGTCAGGGAGTACTACGAGCAGGAAAGCATCCTGGATACTATTTGCTGCTCATATATTGACCATTATAAAGTTTAAAGTTATGAACATTTGGTAAATTTGATAGGTTTCTACATTCTTTCACTTCGCTTCAGACGGTAAATAAGCGTCGTATCGTCAACGTATAAGAACACCATTATTATTATTTTTCCCTTGGGTTCCCAGGGGAACATAGGGCTTCACTAGCACGCATCCATTCCACTCTCTTCTCTCCAGTCTTTTCAACCTGCCTCCACAACTACCCACAAGCTTTCATTTCTGCCTCACCATCTCCTCCATATCACCCTCACCTCGGACACCCAACTTGTCGTTTCACCTTCGGATTCCACTCGACAACCTGTCTGGCCTGACGCGTGATATCCCCAATCCGCCTTCTCAGTGTATGCCCCCCAATCCATCTCCACTTCCTTCTGCATACATGTTGGGTGCTGGGTTCTTGGTTGGTTCGTTGTCAACCAGAGAGTTCCTTGTTGCTTGTTCTCATTATTCTGACCATCTGATCTTTGGTATCGAGCCAACGTAGGTGGCAGTTGTTGATGAATATCTGTAATTTGTTGGAAGTGCTTTTCGTGACGTGCCAATTTCCTGAACCACATAGCATCACTGACTTGACTGAATTGGTGTTGAAAATCCGGATGTTGTTCAGGCTGTATGCTGAGTGCAATGCAGTAGATCTGCACACTGATTATTTCAGGTGAATGAGGGGATGTCTTGTTGTCTTTCCGATCCTGGTTTTGACATTGTCGTCTGTGCCGCTGCTTGTAGTTGAGACGATGCTGCCTAGTTAGGTGGGTAGGTGAAAGAGACAACTTCCTCTAGATTTGTCCCGTTAATGGTGATTGTTGTTGTTGTTGGTGGTGGTGGTTGGTAATCTTCATCACCTCTGTCCCCTCTACATTCACTTGAAGTTCCATTGACAGAAGAACACCATTAGTCTTGCAGTACTCTAGGACACACATGTGAATGGTAAATCTTAGGTAAGTTAAGACATTTCACTAATAATCAAGGATTACTTGGTAGATTGACATAAAAAGTTTACATAATATACCAATCCGGTGAAATAAAGAAATGAATATCGAACAAATATACAATTAATAGTTATCACGAGAAGTAGCACTACGCTTCCACATTTATCCTTTGAAATTCATGAGTTTGATGAACAGTTCAGTACCACCTTAAAGTGAAGATACAATTTCTTTAGTGTGGTATTGTATTCTTGGTAAAGCACTTGTTTTCAGTTAAATTATACCCTGAGTAATTATTTTGTTACATCTTATTATTTGTCTCTTAGGTTTCTAGTGGAACAAAGGGCTTCAGTAGCACATCCATATTTTACTCTATTCTCTGCAGTCTTCTTAACCTTGCTCCATAACTGCCCACAAGCTTTCATTTCTTTCTCACACTATCTCCTCCGTGTCACCCTCGGTTCATACGCCCAGCTCGCCGTTTCCCATTCCGGTCTGTTTTAACAACCTGTCATGGCCTGACGCATGATGTCCCAAAACCATCTTCTCAGTCTATTTCCAATCCAATCCATCTCCACTTTCTTCTGCATATTTGTTGGGTGATGGGTTCTTGGTTGGCTGATTCGTTGCGGGTCGGAGTGAGTTCCCTGTTGCTTATTCCTATTATTATTATGCACATCTAGTCTTCAGTATCGGGTGAGCATAGGCGGCGGCAGCTGTTGATGGAGTGTGTCTGTAGTTTGTTGGAAATGATTTTTGTAACGCGCCGCCACGTCTCTCAACCATCTTATAGAAGCACTGACTGACTTGACTGATATTAGTATTGAAATTCCGGATCATGTTCACACTTTATGCTGATTGGAGTGGAGTAGAGTGCAGTGCAGTGTAGCAGATCTCCACACCGATTACAGGTTGATGAAGGAAGGCCTATCTTGCTGCCTTTCTGAGTCTGGCTTTGACATCGCCACCTGTGTCGCCGCCGCCTGTAGTTGAAACGAAGCTTCCTGGGTAGGTGGGTGAAGGAGACAACTCCCTTTAGATTTCTCCCTTTGATGGTGATTGGTGGTTATTGTTGTTGCTGGTTGGGTATCTTCATCATTATAACGCTAGCAAGAATGAATTCATGACCTCAGAAGTGTTGTTTTACATGAAAGGGTTATCAGAAACCCAACGTAAGATTCTCAAAAGGGCTGGGTTTAGAATGGCACCAAAATACAGAAATTCACTAAGAGGCAAAGTTTATCGGTTTAAGGGCTATTATCACCAACTAAACAGAATAATTTAATTCCCAGAACACCGTGCAATGATTGTGAGATCAAGTAAACAGACTAGACTAGCTGAACGGCGTCAACAAGGTTATCCGGAAACGGTGATGTAGACTGGCAAGCCTTATTAAGATGAGCGATCAAGAGAACTCAATCATAGCTATGCATGTGACAACACACAGACAATCAAAATGATGTGACTTAGATTCTGGATGTATACTGGATGGTGATTAAAGGTGAAATTAAAATTTGGACTGCAACCGGGTTCGGACCAGCAAACACTGGTCTTCCAGCCTGAAGTGAAATAAAAATCTAGTCAGTGTCATCTAACAAACAATACTGTATCACAGTGTGCTATATCAAACAGACTAGTCTTCTTATATGGAAGTTTTGATTTTGTTTAGACTTGGTCCCTTCTAGGGTTTTTCAAACGTAAAAAAACTTGAAAAATGTTGAAATAAGTATATGGAAGCATTTCAAGACTAGTGTTCCACTCATGTTTAAGTACGCTAATCTCGATAATTTAGATTCACTTACAGTAGAAATATTGATATGTGGAGTGTATAAAGCTGTACTGGAAATGGTTTAACAGTTCAATATGGAAAAATTTGTTTTACTGTGAATACAGACTAGAAAGTCACTTTCAGTAAAGTGCTTTTGCTTGTATATGCCATGGTTGGAAGTTCATTTATGTGATTATGTAAACATTTAGGATAAAAGATTAAACTTAAATGTATCTTTTTGTTTCAACAATTTCCCAGCTTATGACTTACCTTTAACTTCCAAATCTAATTTGTCAAACGAGATAGTTTTCAGTTCTTTAAACCAATAAATAGGTATTTGATAACACCAAAATACACCTTGAAGTTGAAAACAAAAGGAAGAAAAGTGATTTTACACAATGAAAAGATATATTTCATAATTAACAGTGGAATCTAAGAAGAGCATTTCATTTTATATATGTCAGTAGAGACCGATTAGTTCAGTCCAATTAGTAACGGAAACTTACAAGGAATGTATTGATTGGTCACGGAAGTGCAACCAATTTCATGTTGTCTAGTCCTGTGTGCAAACCTAATTCTATCGATCATATTTGCAATGTGGCAACCAAGCTAGAAAGCTTAGCATCGTGGTGCACAGTAGTAGATGTTAGTTGGTTGGAGGCAATCAGCAAGAAGCCCTGGACCTAGGTTTTGTGCTTTTTGGCACTCGTCAGCAAGAAACATATGCAATCTCGACGGAACTAATGTCACGCCTGAGATTCAAACCCGCGTCACCTAGTGTTGCAGTCAGCGACTTTACTACTGACCTATTCGGGTGGCGATAGACCTTCTATAGGACTGGCTTACATGCATTGATTAGTCACGGGAGTACAACCGATTTCATGTTGTTTGGTCCTCAGTGGGTTCGAATCTCAGGAGGGATGTCAGTCACTGTCGAGGTTGCAGATACGCCTTGCTGACGAGTGCCAGAAGGCACGAAACCTAGGTCCTAAGATTGCCTTCAACCAAATAACACTTACAAGGAATAACACCCAAAACTATACCGTCGCACAAATAGTAACTATCGTGACTCGGTGGTTTACTGGACAACTCTATGGCGTGCATTTAAACTGGTCAGTCCTAGTTTCAAGGCTTAATGTGAACAACATTACTCTCTGGGAAGTGGGTATATCTAGCTGATGAGTGCTAAACAGGAAGAAACACGCGTTCTGGGTTCCTGTGCTAGCCACTATACCTCATTAAAACCAAATTGTTTTCTCTATACTGTACGAGGTAGCACGATGACAGATTAATTGTATACCTAATTACCTATGAAAAAAGTGTGTTCATTCATTTTCAACCTACCTGTTAACTACGAAATCTGCGAAAGATACCCATCAAGACATGAAACAGGAACGAGTATTTCAATGAACAGTCTCTTTTCGATGTTTACATCTTCAAAGCTGTACAGTCCCAAATTTATATATTCTTCTTGTGTCAGGATATGATGGTTAAAGGTGGTTTGTCAAGTATGGCAACAAAGATAGCATCAATACATGAACTTTGAAACAGTTAGTCCCTTTTAGGAATTTCGATAGCGTAATTAGAAGACGAAGTTTATTTGAACAGTGTGTGATGTATTTTTGCAATACATTTCGAACAGTCTGAACACACATTTACTCATCAAGTCAATATATATTAAACCGAAGAATAAATGGAAGGATAAATACAACAGTTAACATAATAGGGAGATTAAAATTAAGAAAGGTGAGAAGAAACAGGAAGAGTGACATAGTTGATACTAATCTTGGTAAGAAAACAAAGTTCACCAAGGTAGGCGTAGTGTAAGAACAAATTGTTCTTGTACACATAGAAGTGGTTTCAGTTTGTGTATAGCTATGGCTTCCACAAATCTCAATATACGTCACCGACTGTTTCTATATAAAACTTTGAAAGCTGTCTGAACATTAATTCTCTGACCTGTTTCTATGATATGATAGATGAAGAGGGTCGTCTCCCACCAGCCTTCATCACTGCTTCCCAGTCAATTTGTTTTTGAAGCCATGGATAGTAAATTACATCCAAAACGTAATGTAGTAAATAATACTGTCCCACTAGTTGGTATGCTCGATAGTGTTAAATATGTCATTTGTGACTTGGTAACGTGTAATCACGGCCTAAGACAAACTCCCATCAATTAAGTGAAAGTCCCTAAAAGTTAATGCATTTCTTACAGCTTAAAGATTGAAATCGCGGAAAGCTCTTCACTGGAACACTTGTTCTTCTTAAAAGTTCACTCAATAACTTCTTCGTTAAAATTCATTCATAAGTTGAGAATTAAACTTCCGAAGGCATTATATCCTCATATTCTCTGCATCCGCGAAGCTCTTAGCATCCATTTTCATAAGTATTCACTATTCATCAGTTTTTCCTATTTTAATAACAGTGAAGAGCTTTCCGACGATTTCAATCTTTAAGCTGTAAGAAATGCATTAACTTTTAGGGACTTTCACTTAATTAATGGGAGTTTGTCTTAGGCCATGATTACACGTTACCAAGTCACAAATGGCACATCCCATTGTGTTTACCAATTTACATGTGTTTATGGTCACAAATACATAGGGAGGGATAATCCAGCCATGCAGTTGAGGGTGGGAGAACATGTACCTAAATGGCTTCAAAAACAAATTGACTGGGAAGCAGTGATGAAGGCTGGTGGGAGACGACCCTCTTCATCTATCATATCATAGAAACAGGTCAGAGAATTAATGTTCAGACAGCTTTCAAAGTTTTATATAGAAACAGTCGGTGACGTATATTGAGATTTGTGGAAGCCATAGCTATACACAAACTGAAACCACTTCTATGTGTACAAGAACAATTTGTTCTTACACTACGCCTACCTTGGTGAACTTTGTTTTCTTACCAAGATTAGTATCAACTATGTCACTCTTCCTGTTTCTTCTCACCTTTCTTAATTTTAATCTCCCTATTATGTTAACTGTTGTATTTATCCTTCCATTTATTCTTCGGTTTAATATATATTGACTTGATGAGTAAATGTGTGTTCAGACTGTTCGAAATGTATTGCAAAAATACATCACACACTGTTCAAATAAACTTCGTCTTCTAATTACGCTATCGAAATTCCTAAAAGGGACTAACTGTTTCAAAGTTCATGTATTGATGCTATCTTTGTTGCCATACTTGACAAACCACCTTTAACCATCATATCCTGACACAAGAAGAATATATAAATTTGGGACTGTACAGCTTTGAAGATGTAAACATCGAAAAGAGACTGTTCATTGAAATACTCGTTCCTGTTTCATGTCTTGATGGGTATCTTTCGCAGATTTCGTAGTTAACAGGTAGGTTGAAAATGAATGAACACACTTTTTTCATAGGTAATTAGGTATACAATTAATCTGTCATCGTGCTACCTCGTACAGTATAGAGAAAACAATTTGGTTTTAATGAGGTATAGTGGCTAGCACAGGAACCCAGAACGCGTGTTTCTTCCTGTTTAGCACTCATCAGCTAGATATACCCACTTCCCAGAGAGTAATGTTGTTCACATTAAGCCTTGAAACTAGGACTGACCAGTTTAAATGCACGCCATAGAGTTGTCCAGTAAACCACCGAGTCACGATAGTTACTATTTGTGCGACGGTATAGTTTTGGGTGTTATTCCTTGTAAGTTTCCGTTACTAATTGGACTGAACTAATCGGTCTATTAAAAGAAACTTTGTCTTGTAATTGCGCTATCGAAATTCCAGATATCTTATCACAGTCTACCAACCTCAGGTTAGCTGAATTTAGTGATCGGACAACCTAAATATCTTCTATCACTTAATTTAGCATGATAACGGACAATAACTTTGTCCGAAACGTTATCAGGTAATTTATACTGTTTCATTTAAACAGCGTAATGAGAAGACGAAGCTTATCTGAAATATATGATATAGCGCTAATGCATCACATGTTTAAGATAATCTTCGTCTTCTCATTACGCTGTTTAAATTTGTGAAACGGACCAGTTGCTTTATATACTGTTTCATTGTTTGATAAATTTGATAAACCAACTGAAAGGGAATTATAACTTGGTGTGGTGCCCAAGTTTTACTCCTATATTATTCTGTTGGTTATTTTCGTTAAGTTGAACATGTAATGTGACCTTCAAGGGTGAATGGACACGAAAGTTAAATGAAGATAAGTTGTTGTTTATGGAACAAAAAATAGAGTTTTTAGTGTGCATTACAATTCAAACTGCTCAATAATATCAAATAATGCATTTCAAGTGGGCTATTGTGGCAGAATATGTCACTGTGGCGTCTCAGTCTCAATGTAAAGAACTGCTTCAGTTATATCTAACGTTGTTTCACTTCTGCAACTAGCCAAAATTGAGGCCACTTGAACACTTCATCAATGTGTACTCAATCTGTTTCCATAGAACACTAATTCGTGTGATTTGAAGTGAGTGAACTACTTTTAGTTATCCTAGTAAACAGCACGTGTGTATGTGCACTGATTAGTCACGTGAGAGCAACCAGTTTGATATTGTCTAGTCCTGAGAACAGATCGAATCCTATCCATCATATGTGCAACATCGCCACATTACGATACCAAACAGGTTGCTCTTTCTTCACCAATCAACATATATAACCTAGTCCTACAGGACGCCGATCGTGGCCCGAATAGCTCAGTGTTAAACTCGCTGACTACCACACTAGGCTGACACGGGTTCGAATCATAGGTGGGCCATCAGTCCCGTCGAGATTGCAGACACGTCTTGCAGACGAATGCCAACTAGCATAAAATGTAGGTCGAGGAGGGCTTCCTACCGACTGCCTCCAACCAACTAACGCGGTACGTGTGTGTGTGAGCAGTTTACACGCACATCATGTCAGTCAGTAGGACATCTTGCAAAGTTTCCTAGGAAAGGAAATAATTGTAAATTTGATGCAAAAAAAACAATAAATTCTTAGCAGTTTCCCTCGCTTTTGTTTACATGTTTGATAAAACGTTTTAGGGCGTAAAATCTACTGCTCAATGTTTTGATATAGCTCATAGTCTGGTTCATCATATTTTTCAATCTCTTCTAGATGACTCATAGACTCCTTGACTAAGAAATGATGAAGGTAATGATAATAATGTCTAAATCAATAAATAAAACAGTGGAAAATACTTTCAATGAAAGACTTGTTATGAATTTTCTAGGAACTGAGATGAGATTTTTACTTCTTACACTCATCAACTTGTCAATCACTTTCCTTTTATTCTTAGAAATTATATGAAAATGTTTCTATAGTAAAGTAAATTATATTTGTGTATTTTATGTCAATCATTTTGATCAGGAAATTTAATTTTAAAGGATG